ATAAATAAATATAAGTCTCAATATCAGCCAATTAGATCATTATTTTCATTGTTGTTTCATTGCTCGATTATTTCCTCCATTAATTGATTTGGTCGATAAAATGACTTCGAGTAAAGAAACGGTAAAATATTCACATTTCAGAAGCTGGAATCAGAGAATTCTGACAGTTTTCCTTAAAAAAATTACTCAAACCAATTACTTGATTTAAAAAATAAAATAAATTGCAGAGATTAATTGAACAGTTTGCAGCCATATAGATCATTTTACAATATTTGTAATAATAGTTCGATAAACATTTTTTATTGTGTTCTTTTAAAGACGACTTCTCTCCACATGGTGAAAACAAGCAAAACATCCTTTGCCAGTAATAATTTATTCTATTACACAGAGAGACAGAGTTTAACAACAGTGAATATTAATGTTAATCATTACAGCAGCGTCTGAAGAACAGTTTGTCAGAGCTTATGCACATTAGATGAATTTCTCATTTTTGACCAAAATAGCTTGACGGTGACGGCGAGATGAAAAAAAAAGTCTGTTCGATTTAATGAAAACCGTTAATTAAAAGCGTCCATATTGGTTTTGCTCCATCAGCTGTGAAGTCATTAAAGTTTAATAACTTCACAGCTACTTTGAACAGAACGAACCTTTTCATTTCATCTCAAGATACAACGAGCACCGGAGTCACGAAGGTGACGAAGCAGCACGAAGACGCCATCAACACCAGGATTGTAACGTTGAGATCTCGTCTGCAGACGGACGATGATCTTTAGTTTTCACACACACACACAAGCAGAGACGCCATTCAAATGCAGATTTAGCTTAACAGACAACGAGTCATTCTGGTCAAAAGAGAAAGAGAAGAGACGTGTTCATGAGCTCTTTGTTGACAAAAAATGCACCGAGATGAAACACTTTGCATGTAAATCGATTCTATTATAGTTCATTGTTTGTGTATAACCACAACTAAACAACTAAACAGCTTTAAACTATTATTTTAATTAGATTTAGTCATTTAACCCGTGTGTGTTAAGGACCATTTAGTTTATTTATTAAGATCACATAATAAGTGATGTCATGATGTAAACAAACTTTCATTTAAAGGTTTAAAATACTGAAAATGAATGAATTGTAGGAAGTTATGATCGGGACTGAAGTGTGTTTGAAAGATTTAACTCAGTGAAAGTAGAAAACAATATTAATACATAATATAAACGCAGCTTCTTTGCCAGTGATGCACAGCTGAGTTAAATGCAGTTAAAAGTGCTAAAACAGTGATGAACACAGAGATGTGATGTTTCCTTTCCTCCGTCCTCAGGTGACCGCTGACATGTACCAGGTCCTGAGCTCCTACAACTACACGCTGGAGTACAGAGGGCTGGTCACAGTCAAGGGGAAAGGGGAGATGATGACTTACTTCCTCACCAGTGGACCCTCCAGCAGTTAACCTCAACTCAGTGAGAGATGGACTCACCGTGGGGGGGGGGGTTGGAGCCTCTGACGGGCTCGTGGACCTCTGATGGTTTACGGCGGACTGAGACGGACTCCTCACAGCGCCGATTCCTTTCCTTAAACTGAGGCCACATGGAGGACGGACGAGGAGATTCCTCTCCAGAGCTCAGACTATGAGGCCCAGCTAGACCTGAACCTGAGACCAAAGATGTCCAACCAGAGCGTAAAGACAGATGTTGTGAGTCTCAGTCCCTAAAAGGAGGAACGTTCTGGAAGAGAGTTCATGTTTTCAGAGGGTCCTCTCTCTGCTGGAGTAAACACGTGTTTTTGTATTTTGATTTAATGTGCTGTATGTTAAAAACACATTTCCGTCCATGTCGTCGTGGTCCAGGTATGAATCTCTAAAGCTAACCAGCACCGCGCCACTACTCCGTCCTCGTATCACGACATCTGATCACGTCGGTAACTCACAGGCTGAGGTGGAGAACGTCCCTCAGACACGAGTCTTTGACAGAAGAACTTCTCGTCAGGCGCGTAACTTTCACAAAGGAACACCGCAGTATCGTCAGCGTACAAACACACTAAACACACAGACGGGATGTCAGAGAACAGCTTTTTTCTAATCTTTGACATTTTGTATTTTGACATTCAGAACACCAAACGAACCCGATCAGATATTTTCAGATTCTATATTTTGTACATTAATATATTAGAGAGCTATCTATAAACACCGATGTGTATTCAGATGTGCAAACTGTCTCTCTCTCTCATGTTGGGATGTCAGAAGTCTGGTGTTAGCGTAGCGTCACAGCTAATGTACCGTTTAACCCCTGAACGTCCCTCCTTTTTCCCGCTCTTTCTTTTAAGTGAGCGGTTTTTAGATCTGCGGGAAGTTAAACCGCTTTCTGATTATTTCCGTCAAACCGAGTGCACTTTGAACGGCGGACTAGAGGACGAGGCGATTGCACCCTCCCCCTCCTTTCTTCTTGCTTGCTCGCTCAATCAGATGGTACGACCCAATGAATGTCCAACGATCTCCGCTGAGGCCTTTAACATGAACTCTGCACTGAGGACGCTGGTGAAGCTCATCCTGTGGACAGACGAGCGATGTATCTGCTGTTCTGTCCTTTTTGTCCTTTGTTCTTCAGTATTACAGCGTTTCTCAGCATGTCGTCAGACAAACTGTCTTCAACCTGCCGGTCTCATCACAGTTCATGTCTCTTGTCTTGTTTATTACCAAACACTACAGCTGGCTCTGTTTGTCTTGGCTGATCACAGAAAACAGTCATCAGTAAACATCTGGACAGGATGTCGAGGTTATCGAGATCGAAGCTTAAAGAATAAGACGAGCAATATTTGATTTGTATTGTTCATCAACACATCAACGTTTTGACTTCTCTACTCACCAGCTCATCTATTAGTTCCTTGAGACATAAACCTTCAACTCAAACAGCATTTATTTATGTGTTTAATACACATTAGGTGCCATAATTATAGTTTTATGTTGTTTAAATATAATTACAATTAAAAACCCAAAACTCTTGTGTAAATAGAAAATAATAAAAATGACAATCAGACATAATAAATATATATATTAGTATTTTAATAATAAATAGTAATATTTTTATATGATTAAAGCTCAGAGCAGCAGCAGGAGCTCTGATTGGCCAGCTGCAAAGTATTGGCAGGAGTCTGGCCAATCAGAGCTCCTGCTGCTGCTCTGTGGGTTGGACTTCAGTTTGGACACTTTTTTTAAATGAACCGGATCCCGAAAAAAACTATTTAAAACATTAAAGAGCATTTTTAAAACGTTCCACTTTAGAAATTATGTTATTTGATGCTTTAAAGTCTGAATTAAGAAAATAATTTTAACAAATTTAAAAGTATCATTTTATAATAATTAAAATGCAAATATAATTAAACACGTTATAATAGCTTTTAAAAATTACAAGATATATAGAGTTTTGCTACACAGGCAACATCTGTTAGAATGATCAATACATTGATGATTTTGGTCTTTTCATGGGACATCTTTATATAGATATCTATATATAGATATCTATATCTATATATAGATATCT